GCCATCTTACCTGTGATTCTGGCTTCAGCCCTAGCCAACCGTTCCCTCAGATCAGCCTTGGAGGACGATCGGATTTGAATCAAGGCCAGAGCCGACTCCGCGAGGGAAAGACAGTTGGTTAAACTCTGATCAGTCCGATCTATGGAAGCGATTAAATCGTCATTATCGATCTACCTCCTTGGACAACTGGGAAGCTGGCGACAAATCAGTGTTGAAGACAGTCTTGAAGATTGAACCGAATCGACCCTGTGCTCCGGGGCCGTGGAGACATCCCGAGTAGCACCTTCCTGGCGATGAAGACGCTGGCGCGATGATGCAGACCCGTTAAAAACTTCCTCAGCAGGCCTCTTACTATTCTCCATGATCTCAAACCTATAGAAGAGCAGGAACTATACTAAAGACGTAGAAGGTTTGAGACGAGACGGGTAGTTTTCTAGCCCCAGCTGTGGCCCACATATATAGCCCGGGGAGGCGAGGAGATGGATTTCGCCGAGGGTGTGAAAACTAAAAATAGATACGGAAATGGATTGGCACTCCGGAATTTTAGGGGAGAGATAACGAAGAGATAACAAATTTGGACTTATTGCTTCCCCAGATTATGAAACATCGTGGGGTGGATACGAAGAATTTACATTAACTAGAAATCAACCCACCAAGACTTCTTTGGATTGAAGGGAGTCTGGGCCCCCACAAGGCCGAAGGTCATCATGAACCAAGTCACATCGGACGGATAATGGGATTATACCAGGAGAAGGGGAAAGGTCGCCCGCTTGACAGACGCCTAACTAGTTTCTCGGTGATCGGGAACTGCGGGAAAGAAGCATGTGGCTCTTCCAGCGGAGCGTTTAATGAAGCAAACAAGGGAAAGGTGTCCACATATTTTAGCCCTTGCAAACACTAGAACAGCTTTGCGAGCATGGAGAGAAGACTCAGGTGGTATCATAAGACTTCTTCTAGCTGCAATAGCTGATCCTCTTGCTCGACAAAGCGCTAGAATGAGTGACACAATCACCCTATACACAAGAATTCTTCTAGCCACTCAAGATCTTCATAGCAAAAAGATGGACCATGGAGGATCTAGCAAAGTCAGAGCTTGAGAGGGCTGGTAGAAGAGAAACATAGCTGAATTGTTAAGCTGCTCTCACCGGGGGCGGATAGGCATTTTATAGCCGATCTGGAAGGATGAATCCAAGTGCCCGTGAAGCAATGATGCTCTCGTAAAAGTTGTGAAGCATGGGCTCATGAGCTGACATAGGCGGCGACAAACAGTAGACCCTAGATCAAGATCCTCTACCCGTGATTGCAGACCCATCGAAGATGAAGACGTGATAATTTTGGAATAAAATTACTTTTATTCCAAAATTGGTGGGCATGTGTTTACTCCAGAATTTGGAAGAAGAGTTGCAGAGGTCTGGAAGCTCCCGAAATCATGTCATCAAGGAATCAGCTACGTGGAGATCGGAGCTAGTTGATTCGGACGCAGCACTAGAATCGACTTTCTTCAGATAGCGCCAACAGATAACGACAGAGGCTACGATCGGTGCTGGGACGAGACATGCTGCACTCTACAAAAAGGGAAAGATTAGAGTCCGAGTTATCTTAAATTAGGAATGTTTTTATTATGCCAAAGATTGTATTGAGTCGTACTCGAGTAAGGTTCGTTTTTAGGCTCCGGGTATAAATACCAAACCCTGGCTATTATAAAAGAACAACAATCAATCAAATACAAGTCAATTACTTTTTTTGGCTCCGGCCACCCCTTAGGAGTAGGAGTAGAGTAGATCTCGGTGAGTTCTTCAGCGAGTACGGCTGCATCGATCCAGTCGACCTCCACTGCTTGTCTGTAAGTACCATCATGGTTTATGCCTCTGTTCGTATGGCTGCATCGATCCGGTCGACCCCCACTGCGACCCTGGTATAGACTAGTTATCGACTCTTGTCTAATTCAAGTATGGCCTGTGTGATTCTGCCTCACACCCCGCTGCTTGAATTAGATCAAGGTCAACTTCTCGGCTCTACCTTAGTATGGCAGTCTTTACTAGATTTGTTATGTTACCGATATTGCTTATTGCTTTCATTGTTTATCTAATTACAGCAATATCACTCTACCCGATTGAGATTGATCTAGATCGGCCTTATATCTTGTTTAACTCATCGTTTGCTAATCTAAAATTGATCTAATCTACATCTTAAGCGATGAGTTATGTTTTTATCGGTTGTTTTGCGTCAATCTTAATCGTGCATAGCATGCGGTCAAGGCATGTTCGATCTTGAGTAGATCTATTAGTTAATAAAAACCATTCCATGGCCCGTCATCATGACTTGTGGGATTCTGCCTCTCATCCCCACTGTTGGCACCGTGGAGTGGGGATCATTAGTTGGTAGACCCGTTCCTAAGAAGACATGACCTTAACTGTGTGCTATACCTGAATCGGCTGTTTAGCCGATATCGAGCGTTTTCACAAACAGTTCACATTACGAGATCGTTGAAATAGAGATAAGTTGAAAGATATATTAGCCCCATGATCTTGTTATTGTATTATGGCCTGCATAATTCTACCTCATGCCCCACTGGTCATGGTGATAGATGAGATCTAACATGTTCATTAGATTTATCTTTATTAAATGGTTAAGTGGTGTTGAATCGTTTCTTTATATAAAAGGGGGTTCGGTTACTTGTAATCATTGACTCAGTATAAACTGATCATTATTGATATCTTATTGCCATTGATTAATATTTTCTTAAATAATATTCATCATGAATGATAACTGATTCTTCTTATACAACCCCACGAGCTTTAATCGATTTATTCTTATTAATATGCTGGAATCGACTATTTAGTCGATCTCCTCTCATATCGGCTCTCAGAGCTACACATTCGGGACTGTCTGGCAACACCGGCACGTTCTGTCCTTAATTACTGATAAGCTTTCTCTCCTTGTCAATTGCAGGGTCAAATTGACTGGCACGTCTCGGGAGGATTGCGCAGGATCGACCACCCTTGCACTGAAGCTAGGCGGATCTGCTCCATCGAGCGGACCCTTCCGGCTTGCTGCGTGTGTCCTCGATATAGAGACGAAAATTCTATGTTGACACCTCTTCACCTTGACGAGAAGTCGCTGCTCCTGGTCCCTAATCCTGAGGACTCCATCTTTGATCAGTACCTCGCTACCGCGCTCATCCAGCTGACCAATGCTGGTGATGCTTGAACGCAGCTGCGAGATGTAATATACATCCGTTAGCGTGCGAGATTGTGCCACGCCCTCGGATAGCTACCCTTGAGCCGTCACCAAATTTCACCGTACCGATAACATCGTCGTCGAGCTGGAGCCCGTTATGTGGTTGCTGACACCAGAGTCTAGATACAACCGCTGCTCCTGCTCGCCACCCACACATCCGAGATGGACATGGGCGCGCGGTTCGTCGAAGTTGACAGCCTTCGGGGTCTTCCCAGGTCCTTCCACCGTCGTAACATCTCCCTTCTCCTCGGCCTCGACGTCGTGCAGTGCACATAACATCGCCATCAGGATAGTGGCCTCATCATCATCATTAGCTTGCGCCAGATGAGCCTTAGCCTTCTTCTCCTGCTTGCGATTTGGGCACTCCCGTGCCTAATGGTCTGTCTTCCCGCAGCGTCGGCAGGCGTTGGGGTCAACCTGCTTCTTCTTCTCCGAAGAAGCCTTGCCGCGGTGCTTGCCATCGCCACCGCGTGATTGGAGGAGGCTACCCCAGAGTTCCTTCGAGCAGCCCACTCCTCCTTTGTCAGCAACAGTTTACCACTGTCCTTTGTTGTTGTCGTCTACTCCAAGCCCTCGTCCACCGTCCGTAGACGACCTGTCACATCCTCAATGGTGAGGGTGGACAAGTCCAGTATCGTCTCTTTGGAGAGAGCGATCTGGATGTACTTTGCCGGCACGGAGTGGAGGTACTTGGAGACCGTCTCCTCTTCGTCGATGGTGACACCGTGGCTCTTCAGCTTGCTGATGAGCGTCTGCAGGCGGAGGGAGAAATCCTCCACTGTTTCACCATCATTGAACTTGAGGTTGGCGTACTCCTGCTTCAGAAACTGAGCCGTCACCTTCTTTGCGCGATAGGAATCGACGCGCATCACCGCAATAGCCTCCCATACCTCCTTAGCAGAGCTCTTCGTCCCCAACGACTCCCTATACTCCACCGGTACAGCAGCGATGATAGCCTCCAACGCTGACATGTCATCTTTCTCATTGTCGGTTGTCAACAGCATTCCAGAGCCGTCAAGCTCTGAGCTTGACCTTTATGGTCACCGACCACTCTCCATAATTGATGCGAGTCAGCGTCAACCAACTGGTGCCGCTGACCTCCCGCACCGTGCGAACAACGACCTCCTGTCGTGGCTGGGCAGCTACAACAGTGCCACTGCTGTCGTCCATCTCTGAACCGTTCGTCATCGTCAGCGGTTAGTCCGGCGATGACGCTGCTCGGCTCTGATACCATTTGTTAGCCCACAAGATCACCGGCTCAGGTGAGTCGACCACTCACCAGTCTTACCGACCACGGCCGACCACGACAGACGTTGTCCGACCACACACTATGGCTGGAGGTAGAAGAGAGAGGGAGAACAGAGCATACACACACAGTCGGAGACATCAGCTTTGGCTGGAGCCCTGTATAGGAGATGACAAATTTGAACTCTCTTTACTGAGTTATAGTGGCAAACTATATATACAACTCTATCCATCTAGTCCTAATACAACTGCCATGTTTAAGTACAGCTGCCATGTTGCTGCAGTTACTAGATGTGATAGCGGGGCTGACTTTGACGTCTGCCCCTGTTGTGGCTACAGTACGGCAGGTGAGCCATTCGGTGCCTGCTTTTGCAGCTGCTACAGAGACACAACAGAGAGCCCTTTTCGGCGTCGTCTTCGCCTACTGTGCATTCATACCAGGGATGGGATGCAGACAAGATTATCTAACACTGCATTCCCTTCAGGATGCCCTTGCTGAGCACACTAATGTCAACCTGACGGAGATCCCCAGCATGAAGTTTTCCTCGCAGTTGAGTCATCCGTCGCAAGGCGTCGATGTGCATGCTACCACCAACACGGAATACATCCAGTTGTTGCAAATTTGAGAGACCATGTATGTCACTTATGCTCGAAAGGAACGACTCACTTGCATGCAGATGCCTCAGGTTAATCAAACTTGTGATGCCGTCGGGAGGATGCAGAGAAGGAGAGTTGCTGCGAACATCCAGGACTTGGAGGTTGTAAAGCTGGCATAGTGTCTCTTGAAGGTCAATTATTTTGTTTCCTGACAAGTTGAGATAGCGGAGGTGTCTGAGCTGGCTGATCTCTGGAGGCAAACATGTTATGTTTTCGCATGAGAGGACAAGGACTCTCACAGTCTTTGCCACGGAGAAAATATGAGCTAGAACATCCAGAAACTCATCTGACTCGCTGACATCTCCTGTGAAGAGCAGAATTGTCCGAACTTGGTACAGGAAATGATGATCAGGGGAAGACCAAGTCTGCAAAGCCAAATCACTCTTCAGCTTAGACAGGTTACTTGTCCTTATCGTCAGGTGACGAACCTCCTGCGGGATATCTCCTGAGCTTTCATCTGTGATCATGAAGAACCGGCTCATTGCCACTGCTCGTGCTAGGTCTAGCATCGACTTGTGCATTACAAATCTATTACTTGCAAGAGGTTGAAAGAAGCATCTCTGAACCAATTCATCAAAGAACTCACCACCAGTGTCCTCCAGCCTCATGGCGGCACGATCAGAGTATATCAGCCCCTGTGATACCCACATGTTCACCAGTTCTTCCTTTCTGAAGACATGGTCACCAGGGAGCACTGCACAATATGCGAAACACTGCTTGAGGCGGGGGTCAAGGTGACGGTAGCTCAGCCACAATGCCGGTGAGATCCGGCAGGCATCTTGGTCTTGGCTCTCCCACAGCTTGTCTTCCAGCACGTTTCTCCAGTGGTCTTCATCATCCTGCCGGAAGCGCAGCGCCAGCCCAAGTGCCCGCGCCAATAGCGGCAGACTGACCATCCTCTTTGCTAACTCTGATGCAATTTTTTCCATCGGTGACAGCTCCTCTTCGTCCTCGACGACGTCGTCCCAATCGTCTCCCAGCAGAGTGCATTCTTCAGTGTCATCTGCCCTGCCAAATGCGAAATGCCTGAACATCTTCAGGTAATCATCGGATCCCAGAGGGCCCAGGGTTAACATCGGCATTGTGCCTACTGCTGTCGCAACAGTTTCTGAATCAGTTGTCACCATGATCAAGCTCCTCCTCGCCGCCGGTTGCAGCACCTCCATCAGATCTCCCCACTGCTTGTCGACGACGTCGGTGACGCCATCAAGCACGAGCAGGAACCTCTTCCCTGCCAATTCCTTGTGCAGAAGTTCCCTGGCGTCCTCGGGGTCACGATCCTGCCCGGCAGCTGCGTGGATCATCTGTTCCATGAGCTGCTTCCTTAACCGGAACGGGCCAGAGTCGTGCACCCACATCCGCACAGGGAACTCGGCCTTGGTGACCTCGTGGTGGAAGACGAAGTGCACGAGCGCCGTCTTGCCGACCCCGGCGTCCCCGGTGACGGGGAGGATGCCGACGCCGAGGCGATAGTGCGGGTCGTCGCTGAACCTCACGTTCTGCAGGATCTGCTCCACCTCGGCTTCTCTCCCGAAGATGTCGTCTTGTTCGATCTCCCCCGCGGCGGCGTCCTCTGTTCGCCGCCAAACAGAGGCGATCGTGGCGTAGTTCTTCTCCGGCACGACGTTCTCGTACGCCGAGGCGCACCTGTAAGCAGCTTGCGCCATCACCCCAAGCGCGTCTCGGAACGGGTCCAGATCAATGCTGCTCGTCTTCGCCCTGGAGCTTTTCCCATGTCCGCCGCCACTGCTGGCGCCTGCGGTTCTGGGCGGGTTGAAGCAGAGCAAGAACCTGAGCGGGCTGCGCGGCTTCCGCGCGACGGCGGTGCCCACCGGGCGCGCCTCGGCGCCCACGCCGTCGTCTCCCGGCACGTCCACGGCGGCTCACTCGGTGTCGTTCAGGGCGTCGTCCGCGGCGTAGGCAGCGTCGAGCAGGTCATGCAGCGGTCGCCCGCCCAAGTCAACGGCGCCCGCGTCGGCGGAGTCGAGCACGCGCCACACGGACGGGAGCAGGCCCTCGAGGCGGCGCAGGTGGCCCGCGGCGGCCTCGTCGAGCTCGGCCAGCAGCTCGAGGCCCTTGTGGATGAGGCGGGCGAGCACGGCGGCGACGAAGCCACACGCGGACCAGCCCACCGTCGGAGGCAACGGTATCATCGTCCCCGCGGGTTGTGGCGGCGCCATTGGTGGTTTTGCGCTATGTGTTCTTGGCGGGAGCGTTGGGGTGGTGACTGGTGAATGATCCGTAGAAGAAAAATGGTTTGGCGGAAGGAAAGGTCGTAGCTGTTGTCCAATAAAAATTGAAATAAAAAAAAGGTGGCCGGTGGCCGGACGACGTGCGTGCACGTACGCGCGGCGAAAGGGTCGCCGGAGTTGTTATTAGACAACATCTTCCAGGCCAAATAGGTGTTGTACCGTGCACGTACTGCGGTCATGGGCCATAGGCTGGTTGTTGGGCCGCCTGGGCAAGAAGTTCATGGTGTGATTGTACCCTGAGAAGTTCATGGTCCAGCCTGGTAACATAACCTACCATAGCTGGCCTGTTACCTTCCATCCAGTACCAAAAAATAAACGCAAAGCCTATTAGACGACCGGTCGCGCTGTGACTCGATCGCGCGACACCAGGCCACGACGGGCCGGCCCAGCAGACGCGCGCCCCCCCCCCCATCCAACGCGCTGCGGCCTTCCTTCCCGAGCGAGCGCCCAACTCTTCCGCTCCCTTTCGTTCAGGCAGCGCAGCCGCGGGGGGCGACGAATCCGCTGTTGCTGAACTCCAGCCGGCGAGCGGTAGTGGGTTAGGTTGCAGCGGGGGACGACTGAGCAATTGCTCCGCTCACTCCGCCGCGCGTCCAGATCCCTTTTCTTCCTTCTGCATCCGATTCGACATGGTTTGGCTCCTGCAGCTGGCACCCGTGCCTTCTTCGGGAGTTGCAGCAGACGATGACGGAGGAGAAGCAGTAGGTGCGGCGGGCTACGACGGAGAAGCTATAGATGCGGCGGGTTACGACGTTCGATGTGAGTACAACCCAACCCTTATCACTGCTCCTTCCGTGCCCCATTGGTGTTGTATCATGTTATTTTTTTGTTTTTTGCGCCTGTGTATGTGGATGAATCAACATTCTAGGGTTCCATTGTTTAGCATAATGTATATGTATATAGGACTCTGTATCAGTACGGTTTTTGTTATGATGTATCTTTGTAGCAAGTTATTTTATCCTATTGTGGCATGTTTCAAATACCTGAGAATAGCATGGAGGTCCCTTTCTGGAATTAACACAATTAGATGTTGATCAATTTGATGGGGAATTTTCGTGTAGGTCAGTACATGAGATCCCATTTGGTGTGTACGGTATATGGCAAAATTTTAACATAATCCAATTTCCAGATTAACACGAATTGTCTTCTTCTCTTCCCCACTGTTTGTGTTCTACTCGTGTGTGTTGTCCCACCTCAAATCCTATTTCTTCAGTTATCCATGCAGCCCGTTTTCATGTTGCCTAGGTTTTGTGATTTTTGGTGTTATCCCGTTGTGTGTGGCTTGAGCTCTCCTGTGTTTGTACAAAGAGATGTTTGTTTCTGAATCCAAGAGGGAGAAAGATCTATGAAGCGTGTATATAAATCTTAGCTAGCTGTTCTTTTTTCAAGTTGTGTTTTGTATGAGCAAAGGCTGTAAAAAGAATAAAAAGAAAATGAGAAATTTGACTAAAGCTGGTCATTTTCCTCTCCACATCCTTCAAAAAGAAAATTCTCTTCACAGGTTCTCCTCTCTGTATGAGATAAATTACTTTCCTGTCACTGTGATTTTGCATAATCCCTGTTATTACCCTTATAAATCAAATGAACACTGTCCCAACGCAGTGTTTTTTTTTTCAGACCAAGCTTCTACCTTATCTAATCCCATCTAGTTTTGGGAATCAAAGAGCTTTTATCCTATCTCACTACTGGCTCGTTTATTCAGAATTCAGATCTGGAGAACTGAAAAACATATGTGACGGCAATAGATCTAAATAGTCTAAAAACATGATTTTTTGGGTGTTTCCGCGACCGTCGCTGCTGTCCTACTTCGCCACTCACCACCTTGGCCGGCGACGAGCACCACCAGGACACCAGGTATTCCCTCCCCTTGGTCCTCCCTTCCTGCTTTGCGAAGCCGTGCGCCCAAACCCAACTGGCATTCATCCGACCAGGTTTGTGCCTGCTGCCGTTTCAATTATTAATTTCAGTTTCTAATTTGAATTAGTAATTTTATTTTATGGTTACAGTAGTTTGTTACTTTGTTGTAGATATTTCAGTTTTAGAAGCAATTTTCTTCATTTTCAATCTTGCTTCATTGAACTGCATGACTGCAACCTATCCTGCTTAGTGCATCCTCTTCCCTCTGGCTATTCTGCCGCTGATTTGCTGCAGCTGCTAATTTCTGTTTTCTTATAATTATTCAGTTTTCAAAATTTTAGAAATATTCTATTTTCAGTTATCAAATTCAGTTTTCATTTTCAGCATGTAATTTCAATAGCAAAATTTCAGTTAGATTCTAATTTCAGTTTTCATTTTGAGCTTGTAATTTCAACGTTGTTTCAGTTTTTTTAGTTTGCATTTTCAGTTAGCTTTTAGTTTTCAACAGTTATTTTTAGCAAGATTCGGTTAGCTTTTCTGTTGTGAACTTCTTCCAAATTGTTGCTAAAAATAGTTGTTGCATTCAGTTTTCAATTTTAGTTTCTAATTTCAGTTTTCTTATAATTATTCAGTTTGCAAATGGAGGAGAAGTATATTGGTACCGATCTACAAGAATAAAGGGGATATTCAAAGTTGTACTAATTACCGGGGAATTAAGTTGATGAGCGATACTATGAAGCTATGGGAGAGAGTTATCGAGCATCGCTTGAGTGCAATAACGCGGGTCTCTATGCACCAATTTGGTTTCATGCCCGGAAGGTCAACCATGGAAGCCATTTTCTTAAAAAGACAAGTGATGGAGCGGTATAGGGAGAAGAAGAAGGACCTACACATGGTTTTTATTGACTTGGAGAAGGCTTATGATAAAATACCAAGGAATGTTATGTGGTGGGCTTTGGACAAACATAAAGTCCCAACGAAGTACGTCGGGCTCATTAAGGACATGTACAACAATGTTGTGACTAGAGTTCGAAAAAGTGATGGAGATACGGATGACTTCTCGATTAGGATAGGACTACATCAAGGGTCAGCTTTGAACCATTATTTGTTTGCCTTAATGATGGATGAGGTCACAAGGGACATACAAGGGGACATTCCTTGGTGTATGCTTTTCGCGGACGATGTAGTGCTAGTTGATGAAAGCCGGACAGGAGTGAATCAGAAACTGGAGTTATAGCGGGAGACTTTGGAGTCCAAAGGTTTTAGACTCAGTAGAACTAAAACTGAGTATATGAGATGTGACTTCGGCACTACTACTCAGGAGGAGGAAGATATTAGTTTGGAAGGTCAAGTAGTACCTAGAAAGGATATCTTTCGATATTTAGGATCAGTGCTATAGAGAGACGGGGATATTGATGAAGATGTTAGCCATAGAATCAAAGCAGGGTGGATGAAGTGATGCCAAGCATCTGGTGTTCTATGTGACAAAAGGGTACCACAGAAGCTAAAAGGCAAGTTTTATAGGACGGCGATTAGACCTGCTATGTTGTATGGTGCAGAATGTTGATCTACGAAAAGACGAGATGTTCAACAGATAAGTGTCGCGGAAATGCGTATGTTGCGTTGGATTTGCGGTCATACAAGAAGGGATCGAGTTCGGAACGATGATATACGTGATAGATTAGGGGTAGCACCAATTAAAAAAAAGCTTGTCCAACACCGGTTGAGATGGTTTGGACATGTCTAACGGAGACCTCCAGAGGCACCGGTGCGTTATGGAATCCTAAGCTAGGATAGTAACGTGAAGAGAGGCAGAGGAAGACCGAAGTTGACTTGGTTAGAGGCAATAAAAGGAGACTTGAAAGGATGGAATATAACCAAAGACTTAGCCTTAGATAGGAGTGCTTGGAAGACAGCTATTCACGTGCCTGAACCTTAATTGCTTCTGTTGGGTTTCAACTCTAGCCTACCCCAACTTGTGTGGGACTTAAAGGCTTTGTTGTTGTTCTAATTTCGGTTATCTAATTTAGTTTGCATTTTCAGCTAGTAATTTCAATACCAAAATTTCATTAAGCTTCTAATTTCAGTTTTCAAATTCAGTTTTCAATTTGACCTATAGTAATTTTAGTGTTGTTTCAGTTTTTCTTTCAGTTTGCATTTTCAGGTTTCAAATTCAGTTTGCATCTTCAGCTAGTAATTTCAATAGCAAAATTTCAGTTAGCTTTTAATTTCAGTTAGCAAATTCAGTTTTCATTTTGAGCTAGCAATTTCAATGTTGTTTCAGTAAGCTTTACGTTTGCATTTTCAATTATCTTTCAGTTTGCAACAGCTATTTTTAGCATGTTTCAGTTTGCTTATTCTGTTGTGGAACTTCTTCGAAATTGTTTTTGTTTCATCAGTTGGTTGCTATCAGCATGTATATGAACTGGATCTGTTAGTGTGAATAAGTGCCTGGTAGTGTGAAGTTGTGATCATGTCCCAGTTTGCAATTTCAGTTAGCAATTTCAGTATGCAATTTGAGTTAGCAAGAGAAGGCAATGAAACTGCTACTGATCAAATTTCTTTTCACTTGAGAAAAGTTCTTTTTGCTGAATCCTGAAAATTTTGTTTAGAGTACCAGCTGTGAAAAGTTCTTTTGACTGGGACAGTATAGCCATTTTTAATTTCAGTTTTAGCTATTTCAATTCTTCTCTGTTATCTTTCCGTCATCAGTTCAGTTCTAGTCTCCATTGTCAGTTCTTCCTTTCAGTTATGAACCTGCAGCCCTTTTAAAGAAAAGATTAGGGCAAGACGCCCCAATGAACCCAATTAATCCTCTAGGTAGAAAAGAATTTGAGATGGGAGACATTGATCCTCGCAGCAAGGTATTTTTTTTTTATTTCAGTTTGTGATGGTCATTTGAGCCTATTTAATCTTTGTAGGTCCCATTATTCTTTTGGGTATTATTCTTTTTGTAGGCTCAAGAGAACAGAACAACTTATGTGATTCAAAATGCTCCTCTCCCCAAGTTGGTTTAGCATGCTGGTTCCCAATATCAGATAAGGAATTGCGATACTACAAAATAATTTGTC